TATATATATATAGATATATAAGAAATACAGAAATTAATTTTAAAATACTCGTAAGCAGACTACAGTTACTTTTTTATTGAATGCATGATTACATATTCACACAACAGCAATAAATTATTAATAATTTATAGATTCTCCCTAATTCCTCTTTTTCATCTTTTAAATGTTCCTTTCTAAATAGCCTAGCACTAATATACATTCAGAAAGTCCTCCAGTTTTGTGGACATTCACACCAGTCACTAGTCAGGTGGCTACACAGCATTTGACCACTGTATTTACAAAAATCATTTCAATTTTAAGAAGTGTTTTCTCAACATTTCAACATTGCATCAACTATTGATGAAAAACATTCATGTTTATTTGACTTATCACTCAGTAGGTTATTTGTATTACTGTCTTGGGAAGACTTTTGTCTTTCAAACACATAAAAAATGCACAAATTCACGTTATTTTAAAAGGGTTTATATTTTAATTTAGCATTTTTTTATGATTTCATTCATTATTCGATTTTCACTCGTGAACCCCCTGCATTTCCTTCACAAGCCCTTAGTTTGGTAAACCTTGACGTAATGTAATGTTTAATGCACTTTATGTTGTTAAAAACAATGAATGGAACATATTTTCTTTTTCTTTGCATTTTTATTTAAATTTGGGACAAGATTATCCTAGTTAAATCAATGTGATAAATGAGTTTGGTCAAAAGTAATCTAAAAAGTAATTAAAAAGTAGTCCGATTATATTACCTAAAATGTGTATATGTGTGTGTGTGTGTGTGTGTATATATATATATATATATATATATACAGAAATTAATTCATCCAGTTTATTAGCAACAAAGCGTGAGTGTTCAATTAATGATTATGCTTAGCCTAATGTAAATTGTCCACATTTAAACATCAGTTTAGCACTTTTATTTATATAAATGAACGTAGATGTATTATATACACATATAGCCTATATTAAATAAAAGCATGCTACTTTATATTTTATTTATTCACAGAAGTACATGCCATCAACCCATAAAACTCCTCTAAATACCACGACTCAAGTTTGGTCTGTTTGATGACGTTGCAGAGTGTTCCAGATGAACACTTTTTGTGAAGTACTTTACTTCAAGGGATACCCCGTGTTCAGAGAACACTACTGAGTAGGAAACACGCCAATCGGAACGCAGCTGTAGTTTTAATGTTCACAGTACCGCCGCTCCCTATACGCGGATGCGCAGGACACCCCATACCAAGGGATGCACCCATTCGACCAGCGGCACTGGCTGTTTTTCACTGTTTGAATCATAAAAGGGCGGTACGCGGCAGTCCGAGTCATTTTTGGGAGCCGGTTCTTTTGAACGGTCCAAAATGATTCAACAGTTTTTAAAATTTTTTATCTTTTGCTATTTTAATGACCCCACTATATAATTTTATCATACACGTGTCTTGAAGTACATGCTCAACCACACTGGAATAAAGCCACAGACACTTGCGGACTGTTTTGTTTTGCATGTTCACTGAGTGGGTAACTTTAAGATTCGATTAAAAAAAAAAAAAAAACCGAACCGTTTACCAGATCTCGTGGAGAATCGGAAACAAAAATAAGCAGTGAAAACGACAAGACGCAACTGCAGGTCATTCTTGAAGATAGGTACTCGAGCCATGGTATTAAGGTAAGCATATGTATGTTCGTTCACAAGTAAACACGCACGCCACATGTGACAGATTTGAGGTTCAGCGTCGCTGATCGGGAGAGTTGAAAATGGAGTTTGACACTTTCTGTTCCCCATCGTGGCTGGCGCGGTGTTTGGTCTTTTTATCGCAGATTCGCAGACCAAGCAGATGTAATATTTATCGGGAAACAGACTTTTACATGTATGAGTTTTACGTTTTAACGAAGTAGGCCTATCTGTATTTAAAAAAAAAATAAAGTTGGCGATAAGCCAGTATTATTTAAATACTAAAGTGGGGTTTATACAGGCCCATCCTCAAAGCATGGCTATTGGAGCTATTAGAGCTGAGAAGGTAATTTCTCAGTCTAGAGCAGAATGTCTTAAAATAAATAAAAAAAACGCAGATACAATACACAATGTTATTTTATTTATTACTTTTTTTCTAGTAGGCTAACTGAATCTATCGAATAGGATTGTTACATCACCTATAGATGGGCAATAACAAAAGACGGATGACTAATGCTCTGTACCAGCTTCTGCTTTCAGTTTAAAGGGTCATGAAATCCCCCGTTTCAGCACTGATTCGTTCTCACCTAGTCTCAGCCTCAGACGTCACGCCCACGGACCGTTGGCTAAACGTCTGATGCATATGGGACACAAAAGTGGAAACACTTCAGGAGTTTCGAAGTTGTCATCGGATTGGTTGAATTCTACAGGATTTAGGAGACGTGTGTGTCTTTAACGTTCCGTGATGCCGTGACGCCAAACCCCCTCACGAAAGAAGAAAGCCGTAGTGTTTACAACTGTGACCACGAGCACTTATCAGGATCAGCTAAACGCTGGAGTTTCAAAAGTATGTGATTTAAAGTTCGCGGCATAGAATCTTTAAAATATGTCCAAGAGTTTTACACACCGGTCTGTTATTGTGGCGACATTACCACGCCCCGAAACTATGGGATTACAATTCTGCCACAATTCTGCACGCGAAAGATCGCACGTGCGCGAACTGAGTTTTGTGGAGAAAATGTTTGTCTCGCAAAGAAGAAAGTATTTCAAGCGCACGAAAATCAATTTTGCATTTAAAATAAGTTTTTGGAT